ACCACCTCCTAGAGTCAGGAACAACTAGCACATATGTGCAAGGGGAACCTTTACCTTTTACCTTTAATTGTGATTTACTTAATGAAATCTTCTTCAATGTAAGCATGATTCCTGATGTTAGCTGGCTGGGGAATTCTGAAAGTTGAAGTCATACATCTTAATCTGCCATGGTTGAGAAACACTCCTTCCTACTATACATTTTTGTAGCAAATCCCCAAGTATTGCATGAAATTTGGGACCATGAAGATGATAAGACATAATAGAACGTGTATAGCAATAAGTCCTTGAAAATCTTCCTACCTAATTGAATAAATTTGACATGAGTCACATTTGGCCATTGCAAATTTTAAAACGGGAGTGGGATTCAGGTTGTTAAAGTTGCTTCATGATAGGCCCAATATTCTAGGACTATTTTTGATTCATCCTTCTATGTGACCGGATCAAGGTAAGTTGTAATTAATTTTCCATGTTGGTTTAAGGACATTAACATTAAGATGAGCCAAGACACCGCAGTCACACATGGAAATGGGGCAAGATGTTGGTGTGAAGGACAAAAGGCTATTCTTCATTATATCAAAAAAATCCCACTAAATTTTGAAAGAACTTTTTCTCCAGGCGATAATATTAATCAAACAGCTTATTAAAGATGGATGCACACCAACTGTTTTGGACTTCTAAAAATCTAAAGGATACTTTTCCTTCCCTTCATGTGTTTCTTCTTCTTCTTACATAATTACATGTGGATAGCACAAAGCTCTTGAGTTGTGTCCATGCTGACATTATTGCTGCTTCCTAGGTGATGTCCACGTTTCAATGATTGACCGGAATGGACAGCTAGAAGTGGAAGTGATAGAAGCCCGAGGTCTCACGCCCAAACTAGCAGCCAAATCTTTTCCTTGTAAGTAATTCCTTCCCGGATAAGACTGAATAGAGTTAAGATGAAAAGCTGCCTGGAATAATTTTGAGTATTTATGGGAAAGTCGGTTTTCTAGTTTGTGTCTGTTCTTTAAAATACCACAGATGTATATTCATCCAATTGACCTAGAAAGGGTCTAAGCAAATTAAGATGTTTTGAAGTCAAGTCAAACTTTTAAAAAACTAACTGGGTTAGCAGTAGTTTGAAAATTCCTTCCGTGCCAAGAGAGACTCACTTCTAGTCCTTTACACAGTGCAGGCAGGAGAAACTGGCAAAGTAATTTGAAGATTTGAAGATCGCAATAGCAGAAGTGGCATTCAGTAGGTTCTGACTGATTCTGGAGAACTGGTAGCGGAAATTTTGAGTAGTTGGGGGAACCGGTAAATATCACCTCTGACTGGCCCGCGCCCCCATCTATTCTCTGCCTCCCGAGTCCCAGCTGATCAGGAGAAAAGGGGGATTTTGCAGTATCCTCCCCCTGCCATGCCCACCAAGCCACACCACGCCCACCAAGCGATGCCCACAGAACAGGTGGTAAAAAATTTTGAATCTCACCACTGTGCAATAGCAATAGCACTTAGACTTATATACCACTTCACAGTGCTAAACAGCCCCTCTCTAAGCGGTTTACAGAGACTCCAATAATCTGGGTCCTCAT